TTCCCTTATTTAGAGTTCCTAAATGCAACAAACATAGACAATTATATACATAATAAAGATATGACTTTTAAATTCACATCCACATACATTCAATATACTATTCAATAATACATTTAAATGATAGAGCTACTCATACTACGATTCTACTTAAACCCTGCTTATTATATGAATAAATAAAAATCAGTCAGATTTTGTCATGCTGGAAGTTACTGTCTGTATACTGTATCTATAGTACATAGTTTTTTGGCTCTCCGGCGTCTAGCCAAAAATATGACATGTTCTAAATATTGCAATCAAAGAGATGAATCTGCAATCCTGTTTTTGTGTATAGTAATAATAATAACAGTGGGTTATAATAATAAGTGCAAAGAATCCAGAATGTTAATTAATGTATTTGTGTCTTATGTTTAAAGTGTTACTTACAGTATGTTGCAGCCATAATTACTTTCTAGATAATGCTGTCAGGTGCCTCCATGTACCTTGCTGGCTTATGAAGAATATAACTTTGTCTCTTGTAAATAAAGCATGACTTCACCCAGCAAAGCATTAGTGCATCTACACGATCTATTACAAAAACTTTCCTGTAACATATACGATAACAACAGTCATGTAGCAAAAGCACATGCATATGTACAGTGTGAAAGATAAATGCGTAGATCAGACATCTGTCTTTGTTTTTCATCCTTAGCTCAGTGCTGCAATCTGCTTCAGTGGAGATCATGGGAAACACTGATGCAGATTTCAGCCTCTGACATCATGAGCCTACACCTGTCCCTATGCTTCTCCAACTAGACCTCTGACAGAGGTCAAGCCCCTTAAAAGTCTCTGCTGATGGACGAATGCCTATTGTCCTTCAAGTCCACTTTAAAGTGTTATTTATTACCACTAGGGTTGAATTTAATTATTCCCAGGACAAAAAGAACAACCATAAAGTCATCAATTACATCAATGTTTGGGGCAATATTTCTCTGTTTTACTCTAGGAAGTATGTCCATAGAATAACCAATGAATGCAATGGTTTATCTCTGCCTGTTCTCCCAGGAGTGAATTATGTCATATCTCATAAAGCTGATGCCATTTTGTGTCCGTCAAAAAAAAATAAATAAACAGCTCATCAGGTGAGTGGTAAATCCAACAGCAGAATCCCTTAGCTTGCACCTTCATAGGTGTCAGTCAGGCCGTCCGCCTCTCTGACGGATGTGGTGACTGAGGATTGGGTTGGCAGACTGCCCAAACCTCTGGCTGTCTTTCCGGCATAACTCAATATCTCCACCTCATGACTCACTCAAGGATATGTTAAGATCAGGGATCACTCCAAGGTTCGACTTATCTCTGGTCTGCTGTAAAGCTTCATGGAAAATCGCAAATGGAGCGAAGTGCCCTTGCATTGGGGTACAGTGCTTGGCTAAGGAAAAAGTAAGTCTGTCTGAGTAGAAAGTCATCTAGCATTTTAAATGACTGACTTGAAAGAACAACAGACCCCAAAATATCAAGTGTTAAAGTTGTTTTGAGACAAATTAGTTGAAGTTTAGTCAAATTGGATGGAGAGCATTTGTTAATTCGACTCTCAGTTAACAGATTCTTCTAGATTTAGGTTCAGACTTCCACTGTGTCATTCTTAAACATTGATAAAACAAAACTAACAGAAGACATAAAAACTACAAGTTCACATGAGCAGCAAGACCATGAACATTGATGTTAGGTAAGCACATCACAGAGAGTTGCAAGTAGAACAACCAATACATAAGATGATTTCACTGAACTCGAAGCCGAAAGAAGAGAGTCCACTTTACCTTTAATTTGGACAGCATGGATGTGTAAAACAGTGCGTGTCCATAAATTTTCAAAGGCTTTTTGAAATTAGACTTGAATTTAAATAAACTTTATTGTCTTTTTGTATGCACATAGTATATTCAAAAAGAAATTTCAATGTATATAGCTTACAACAGTGAAATGAACATTACCATTTCATAAAGTGCAGCAGTGATCAAGAATGTAAACAGTGTAGGAAAGGAAAGTGATGGTTCAAAAGGCTTTGATATGGATAGGTTCAAGGCAGTGCAAATGAATAGATATGGTGCAAAATGCAGTAGAACATTGAATTGTGTTCTATTTAAAGGGATTGAGAAAAAAATCAACCACGTTGATAGTGCAAATATGATGTTTTCAAGTGTGATGCAGAGTCTAATTTAGAGTTTCAACAGTCTGATGGCAGCGAGGAAAAAGTTGTTGCAGAATCCCCTGGGCCTGCAGCGAGTGCTGTGATGCCTCTTCTCCCACGGCAGCAGGGAGAACAGTCCATGGTGGGGGTGTGAGGGGGTCACTGATAATGTTACTGGCTCGTGACACGCAGCGCTGGGATGTAACGTCTTTTATGGAGGGGAAAGAAGCCCCGATGAAACTCTCTGCTGTCCTCACCACTCTTCTCACATTCAATCTGTCTTCATTGTTTTATTTAGAAATGTATGTTTTCCTTGTCCATTTTTCTGTTGCTACAGTTAAGATTGACCCTGACCTGGATCTGGAATCTGATCTTTTCTGGCTGCTCATCTGTATGCATTGGTCTCTGCCTGGCCACCCCTGTGAAAATGTCTGGCTCCATCACTGTTGCTAAACATACCTTGAAAAAAATGAACTGTTCTGTATCAAGAAACAAAAGGATTCATCTACATAAATTGATGTTCAGTTTAAATTGATATCATTTTACAAACAGAAAAACGAGCCAAAAGAATTTCAATGCAGGTCGAATTGATGAAAATCCCAAGCCAAAAGTGTGCCTTATTCAATTTTTAAAGAATTGGCAACAAAAGTCACAATCTCAAACATTTTGCAATTACTAAAATGTTTTGTTTTTGATTTACATTTTTGATCCTTTATATTCACTTCTCTTTCCTTCTGTTTTCCCATCTGTTGAATTAAGTACATCTCAACAACAGCAACCTTTTCTCCCCTCTTGTATTTTTAGTAAATAACAAGCTGGTTTTGCTGGTGGTCCAAGAATTTTATTTTCGTTTCTTTACATCTAATGTAGCATTTTACATACTTGTAACCTGTGTTTACTGATTTTGGCATTTCTTAGAACTTTTCTCAAAAAATGTTTTTTTTCTTATCATTTTTCAATAAAGGACAGATTTGCATACTGGAAATTTGAGTAAAATATGCTCCAGCTGAAGTGATTTTACTGAGAAACATATTTAGTAAAGCAAAAACAGTTTTTTTCTGAGGAAGTACTTAAAGTCCAGAATATTCCCTATTGTACATTAGGGGTGGGTATTGGCAAAGAAGTCATGATTTGATTCGAATCACGATTCACATGCCACGATGCGATTCTATCACGATGCATCACGATACTTGAAATATTGCGATGCATCGCGATCCGTTGCGATATTTTCAATGAACACTGTAAGAAAAAGACACAGCCCTTACCAGTGGCTGACTGGCTGGGTATGATCTGGATAGTGTCTTCAATTGATACATAACTGAAAGCAACTGAATTCATACATACAGCTGTATTTATTGAAACGACTTTTGGAGGTGTTGCCATGAAAACAAATACTGGACAGAAATATTACTATTACTGGCGTGGACACTGACAAAAAGATCTTAGGATTCCTCAAACTTGAAATAACAAAATAAGGATAATCAGTGCCGTTTACATGGCATCAGTGGTCCTTTAAACCAATGAAACGAAAACATTCAAATTTATATTCCCCCTTTTGCAAATGACGTGCATGATATCAATTTCGTTTTTACCTTCTTTGTTTTTAAAGCCGAAATGCATCCAAGCATCTGACTTAAAATGTGACACAGCCATCGGGCGAATTTAGTTTCCTCCATGTTTTATTTCATATGACTCGTCACAGTATCCCACGGCCAGACATGCTAGTGACACAAGGCAGCGGGCGTCAACACATCCGCAGCGACATCTGCTGGACTGGAAGTTGTATTCCACTTGATTTGGCTGATGTGCGCCAACCATTAATGCATTTTATTTGTTCTTTTTTTTTTTTTTATAATCGATTCTTGCCTTCAAGAATCGATGCAGTAGATCACAAAAATTAGAATCGCGATGCATCGTCATGACGATTATTTTGCACACCCTTACTGTACATCCTGTTCATTACTGTTATCAAAAGGCCTGTCACCAGAGGTGTGGACCTGTCAAGGGGCTTCTCTAATTAGTGCTTTTTGCTCGTCAGTGAAGACAGACGGAATTGTCATTTTTGGTATATTTCTTTATGCTTACGACATAATGGATTCAACAATTCTCTCAGAAATTTTCAAAGGAACAGAGGTATTATTTTCTTAGTTGTCTCTATCACTACAGTGAGAAAAGCTGAAAATGAACATATTCTGTGCATAGAAAATTTTTTGCTCAGAGTAAAGTTATTTTTATCATTTAAAGCAAAACCTTTTTAAAGTTTAATACTTAAGTACAATGCAGAAGCTGCTGGTTTTTATTTTTTTACTTAAGTAAAGAAGTATAATCAATACTTTTAATGTGAGTACTTTTGCCACCTCTACTTTTTCATTTTTTTCCAACAGGTGTTACTCTTTTCTCTCCACACTATCTCCTTTCACAGATTGTTCTACAGGATAATTTTGAGGGTGTAAAACAAATATATAATTACCCACTTTAAACAGTAAAAAAAAAGAAATGGTTCTACATGTGAATGAAGATTGGGCCTCTTTGCATCTGCCACACCCTGGTCATGCCAGCACTCCAGATGTCATGGGAACCACTAACAGCTGGGGCTGGTGCACAAGGGCTGCGTGTGAAAGGCTGCTCCATCTGGGGAAACCCAATCTCTCTGTGAAACCAGCAAAGGATTAGATGCTTTTGATAAGCTCCCTAAGACATTTCTATTAAGGCACATCTGTAGGAACAACAAATTGCATGGACATTTACTGCATATGGGCACTACAAAGATTTCCCTTTTTTTACAGTATGTTCGTAGTTACAGCGGGAACGTTGAAACCTCTTGTACCTTACACTGAAGATCTTATGTAGCTTTGTTACATCAATCTTCAAATAGTAACTAGGATTACAAATAGCCAGCCATTAATTCACAGTGCTTAACCAAATTATCCAACTGGAGATGCCCAACTTAAGTGTCCACAAAGAGACAGAGCTGTGGTCTCATTGGGGTCATGGAGAAAAGGGGAGGAGAAATGCAAAGAGGCCAAGTGTGGGACACTTAAATTAGAGGGGTCCAGACTTCATTTTTGGACTTTAACTCGTTGCATTGTGTGCTTGCAGAATCCTTTTTGGCCTTTTTGGGGCCTCCAGCTACAGGGTTACCAAAGGATTTTTTTGAACTTATAAGGAAGTTGGCTATTAAAGAAAAATCCAACATCTTTTCTTAACTTTGACAAGAAGAAGTTCTGCTGCCCCTTTGAGGTCAAATCTGAAGAGCCATGTCAACAAGCTCGACACCAAGTGATCTTGAGGATGACGAGATATTTAATGGAAGGAGCTCCACAAAAGTGAGGAAAAATACCTGCTTCAGTTCCAGACGGTATTCAGAGAGGGAAGAGGATGAAGAGGAGAGGGGCATCGAGCAGGAGCGCAGCAGGCTCTCCAAAACTCACCCAAAGGAGGCACGGCAGTCCCAGAGAAATGCTGCAAACGCAAGGGAGAGGGCAAGGATGAGAGTCCTAAGCAAAGCCTTCTCCAGACTGAAAACCAGCCTGCCCTGGGTTCCTGCCGACACTAAACTGTCAAAACTGGACACACTGCGTCTCGCCTCCAGCTATATCTGTCACCTGAGACAGATTCTGCAGGAAGACCGGTTGGAGAACAGCTGTGCACATCCCGTCAGTCTGGTACGAAACCGCTCCAACAGCCATGTTTGGTAAAAATGCTTTAATTAGAAATAAAACTGCATTTCCTCACATATTTCATGAAATCTAATTCATTTTAATCTTAAAGCTTAAAAGTTTTCTGCTAAGTTTCACTCACAAATGAGGTTTAAGTGCATGTCTTCATCAACTATTCTCTTATGTATCATTTTTTCAGACATGGCCCTTTATGTCGTCAGGGAGATCAGAGGAGGACATCTCATCCGCTCTAAGACTTTGTGGGGCTACAGCATAGTCCATCCCTCTTCATTATGCTGCTATCAACCAGAACCTTCAGAACTGACTCCAAAGTAATCCTCTGGGCTTTGCCGTCATAATGAACTGTCTTTATGTTATGTTGTTAAATAACTCATGACAGAACAGTGATGTTTTATTGTTTACCTGTGTAATATTCAGAACTTTCATAAGTTCTTGAGTGATTTTTAATTTCCAATATTTGGATATCTTTATTATCACTTTTAGCTGTGCACTGATTTAGAGTATAATTTAATAGCATGGGTTTGATTGAACACCAACTAGACTGGTTAATGTTAAACTGAGAAAGCCTATAGAGTGCTGGTCAAGCCGTATTGACTAATCATAATACTTTAGGATTACATCAAAAGGGCATTTCCCAAAAGGGGAGGTACACTCCTGGGGGGGTTGGGGGAGTTGCAGTGTAATTTAGGGGGAGAGTGGTAGATATTAACGGGAAAAAAAAAAAACATTTTCAAAGGTAATCTTTAAAAGAAGTATTGTTTAGAATATCGAAATTCTGCTAAACTGAAACTTAAGCAGGTACTGTAAAATTAAAGGTGGTAGTCTTGTGATTTTTAATAGAGCTGATGGTGGTTTTGGTCAGGATGGTGAGCATGTCAAACTACAAGCCTACCTAGTTCATTTGGATTTCATCAATCCATTTTCTCCCACCTAGTCCTTGTCATGGTTGCTGTGGGTCTGGTGCCTATCTTTGGCAGTCTATGGGCAAGAGGCGGGGCACATCCTGGACAGGACACCCTGCAACAGACTGGTGACAATGGACAATGTAGAGAAGCCAATTAACCTAAAAGTCAGGTTTTTGCATTGTGGAAGGAAGCAGGAGTAGCAGGAGAGCACCCATGCATGCATGAAGAGAAAATGCAAACACCAAGCAGAAAGACCCTGTGCCAGGAATTGGCCCCACAACCTTCTTGCTGCAAGGCAACAGTGCTACCCAATGCAACACCATCCGAGTTAAAACACTTCTTATCCTAAGTGAATCAAAAATGCTAAGGTTATCTGGTAAGAGCCAAGGATATGTTTGTATGTTTGTCTCTGCTATCATTTGTAATGTTTTCAATCTAAAAAAAAATTCCAAGTTGGGTCATTTTTATCTAATTGAGCGGATTTATAGACCAATAATATGTACAGTGGCTGAAGGGGGACCAACACCATGTAAATACACAATTTCACACCAGATTAGAATGTCCTTCAGACTCAAAAATATAACCAGCAAACTCAAAGATTAAACAAATAAACACAAAAATTAGACTAGTTAGCAAGACAAACCCAAAACACACCTGCAAAGAATATATACTGCAAAATGCGTCAACATACTACAAACACAAATCCCCTGCATTACATAAATGATGCTAACACACAGACATACGAGATGCATGAAAATGAAAAAATGTTGCAAATAGCAAAACGAACAGCAAGTTAAGAAAAGCATGAAACTAGCGATGCATAATGGAAGTGCTTCAGGGGAGACTAGTCATCACCTGATTTGGGATTAGACCTTTTGAAAAGACATATACGGGATGCTATGGGAGGGTAAATGTTGAAAAATACTAAAAAGAAAACGTACCTTTCCTTCTTTTCTCCAGATGACCTCTGGAAGGCATCTCATTTATGTTTTTTTGCTAAGGATCTGGTCCATAGACAGTAAATCATAGTAATTGCTGTGTTTTGGTTGTGAATGGGTGATGATCGTCTCCCCATATTGATCTGGAGAACTTTCATTATGAGGTGCCAGTTTGCAGTGTTTTTTAGCTTACATTAGTTTTTGCTACCCACAGCATTTTTACTTTGCATGTGTTTTGTGTCATCTGTGTTTTGGGCAGCTTTTGTGTTTGCAGCATATTTCCCCAGTGCTGTTCTCCAAGTTGCGTTTCTTTGTTTGTTTGTTTTTTACTTGCAGAATTTTTGTCAGGTGTTTTGCTTGTGTTAGTCTCATTTTTGTGTTTGCTAGTCTCATTTTTGAGTCTCCAGGAAATGTTGAATTTGCAGTTAAATCATGTATTTATATGTTTGCAGCCCTTGATCATCATAAATTTTTACTAAATGAAAGGGAACTAATAGTTACACAACAAATCCAAGCTATTGTGAAATGATCAACTGCTATCACTTTAAAGAAATGATACAATGTTATGTGTCTGGACTAAGTGATGGGTCTTTTTCTAAATAAATATATATGCAAACATTTCATCATTCTAAAAAATGTTATTAGCGGTAAACAGCACTTACTGTGTTAACATTAATTGCTGAGAGGACATCCAGTTTCAAAGAACTTCAGAATTCATTTGCATTTGTTGGTGCAATTAGTAGCACATTTTGACATGCACTAAATAGTAAATAGCATCAATGAGCGTAAGTTGCATTCTTACAAGTTTTGTTCATTGTTGGATTTTTCTTTGTCTGCATTTGATTTTTTTTCAGACTTGCAATGATGGGCCAACATTACAATTGTCCCAGGATCACAACCTCTTTCGAAATGATACTAAACACCAGGCTCAGCCATTTATTTTCCGCTCGTTGTTCATAGGCTAGTTTTGTTTTATGTGGAGAAATATTAATTATCAACTTTGTTAAACAGTCTTTTTGTAAATCATAGTCTGTGGCTTTAGCGATAGAAATTGAAGCTGATTTTTGTGAAAACTTCTCAAAACCAAGAACCTAAAATAAACTTTTTTATATTTTCTCACAGAAACTTCTTTGTGTAGAAGTAACTCTAATTCAAACTTTATGTGAATGACCATTTATATATCTCAAACCTTATATGCTAAAAATGGTCCCATGAATGGATAAATGAATGAATTGACCATTAAACCACAAATATATAAACAAAAAACATCCTGTCAGTGAACAAGAAAGTGAAAACTCTTTTTTTTAAAAGCAGTACTACTAAAAACTACAGTTTTTTGCTAAACTAATCTAAAGGAGGATAATATGAGGATGGATGACCAATTAATCCTAAAATTCCAGTTCTACAATTAATCTTTTATGCATCTGATCAAACCTGATTTTTCTTAATTTACAAACTGCTTCTTTTTTTTTAATGCCAGCTTCGATTTTGAATACAGGCAGACAAAAAGACAAAACATTTCTGAGACCTCAGATGTTCTGAATATGCTGTGATTAATAAATCATGACAAGTTTCTAATATTTGCTCTCCTACTGTATACTAACTCCTAAGAAAGATTTAAAATGGGGAAAATCATTAAATATGAGTAAACACAACTTTACAGGCATTCTAAGCTGCAGGTGCAGATTTCCTTAACCGTGTGTTTAAAGAAAATCTGCCCGGAACTCATATCTGCCAGCAGGAGTCTTGAGAACTTCGGAAATGTCTGTGAGATCAAATGCATACTTTCATATTTTAGTCAAAACAAAGTTATAAAAGAAAAACACCCTTTAGGTTTAACTGGAAGTGCAGGAAGAAGTTGAAGGTCACTACAGCATCGCATTCAATGAGCAACATGGGAATTTCCCAAATGTTCAAGTCTGCACTCAACAGCTCCACTCTTGGTAGACAGAGTGGATAATGGCGATGTCTTGATGCAGTAGCTCTTACATCCAGTGCAACTCCTGAATGATGTGAGCACAGATGGATGGGGATCTTTGCTGAGGCGGTCTACTGGGACATGCTGAGAAAACGGCTTAAAAACAGAGAAACAAGGAGAAGAGAGAAGGACTTTTCATCAGGTTAATTCAGAGCTGCAGCTGTTGCCATCTTGCTGAGTTTCCCAGATCCTTAAACCATTCTCCTGGGAGACTCCAGTCACTCTGTTGGACCGAGCAGCTAATGAGCCGCCTTCTCAAACTGTGTCTTCCTCTGTTCTTAGGCCCCCTTCTTCTTATGTCCCCCTGAACTTGGGACATAAGAAGGAAAAACAACTTGGAAATGTCCAACGTGCAACTTGACTGAGCTAATAATGAGATTTCATTAATCAAATCTGGCATTATGTCAACACAGCCATGAGGTAGGAATCTAGACAAGAAAGCAATTCAGTCACCTGATCTGGATGAAGTAGGTTTCTCTCTTTTAAAAAAATAAATAAATTAAGGACAATTTGAAGTAATATCATTATAATTACAAGGGGCTGTTTGTCAAGGAGGCAACATTTAAAAAAAAAAGGAAACAAAGCTACATTCTATGTTGTGTATTATTTTTTTCTGCAGGTTTTGCTGAGGCTTATGTTTTTTATGCTACAAGGATGTCACCTAGTGGTGAGAAAGACAAAAAAAATGACCAAACAAGGTAAGACTATATGAGAAAGAAATTCTCATTTCTAAGTTAAGAAATACTGATTTTTTTTTACCAAAAAAGAAAAAAACCCACTCCTATTATTTTACAATTTTAAACCATCTTAAATACATGCTACAGATTTCTATTCCTACTCATTAGTAATAGATATAGAAATGCAAGAGCACTAGTTGAGAAAATACATTATGGGCAAAATTTTGGAAGCTGCAATTCAAATTCAAACAAGCAGTTTGTCAGGTAAACAACAAATTAAGACCAAAGCTTTTAGTCGCAGAAATGATACGATTTATGTCAGGCTTTCACCCAGCCATGACCTCTGAAGGCAAGAGGCTTTCTGTCTTTAAGTACAAAAGAAAAAAAATAATCCACTGGACTTTGTTTTCCAAGTTTGAAGACGTTTTGCTTCCCATCCAGGAAGCTATTTCATTTCAAAATATCTGGATACGCGTTGAGTTCAAGGCTTTATAGAGTAGCCCACAACTCAAGCCTGGAACTCAACACTGATTCAGACATTTTGAATCGAGAAAGTCCTGGATGGGAAGCGAAACGTCTTCAAACTTGGAAAACAAAGTCCAGTAGTTTTTTATTTTACTTTTTTGGAATGACTTACCTGGATGGCTGAGAATCTCCACAGCTCCACAAAAGGAATCTTCAGCTGCAGGTGCAGTGTTCCAGATTATTATTTACACATGACACATGCAGATTTCCAACCAAAATGAAGGTCTTTAATAATGATAAATCAAGCCTAATAATTATTAGACTCAATCAGTAAGAGAAGTGTTAAAAAGAAAAAATAAGGCCAAATTCTCTACTACACCACAAACTTTTGTACCCCTTAGCGCTTTGCAACCAAATAGTAAACATTCAGTAGTAAATGTTAGGATAGTTTTTATTCTCTTTAAGTGTAAAGTGTAATCTGGCCGATACTGGTCAAGCAATGACTGACTATTTAGTTTTTAAGACTGAATGTTTTTTTCCATCAGTTTAGGAATCAAAGCAGTAACCATTATAATTGGTAATGTCACACTGGCTCTCCACAACTGTTTACAAACATGGAAAAATTATGAGTATTATTTTCTCTAATGTAAATACAAGGTTGCATAAAATTACCAATTATTTTATTTAATATGAATAACATTTTGAACATCGAACTGCAAAAACTTGAGCAAAGATGCGCCTTAGGTCCAGAATGGTGCTGATGCTACCCTGCAAGAAAAGGAAACTGTATTAATGTTTGGGACTTCTAAGCAAGCATAACCTCACCTGTCTGCACCAATCAGAGAAGGCCTGTCCGATTAGAGCAAAAAAATAAATAAAATAAATCACACTGAACAGCAGGCTGCACTGTGAACAGTTGCATCTTTAGCTGTGTACATGAGTGATGTCAGGGCTGTCAAAATCCAGTGAATGGTTCATTATTCTATTGTGGAAGCCAATACTACAAGACTGATAAATAACATATTAACACAATAATATTTTTCTTGTTGGATTATTTCTTTTTGCACCAGAAAATTCTTCCAACAGCTGTATAAGGACTTATGCTAAGCTTATCTTTTAAGGACACTGACGTTTGACTAAATATACTCCTTCAAATCAATTTCTCTTAATTAACCCATGACTTTGTTTCTGAACTGACTTGATGGATATTTATTGGTGGGATGATTTAGAATTGAAGAGTAAATTCTGCAGCAGAACAGCTATTTTGTTAAATTATTAAATAAATCTACTGTACCTCGCACATGTTTAGCCTCAGGAAGCAAAGAAAGAAAGTATGTGCTCTTCATCCGTTTTTGTAAAATTCTATTTAATATGGCAACAAGAAATAAAAAAAAAGATAATAATCTAATTTTTTTTATATAATGTTATGAAATTAAATGAGGAAAAACAAATTTTTTTTCCTCATTTCATTATTAATTTCAAACTGAAAAACGAACAAAACAAATACTACACAGATTAAACCAATCAACTCATCAACTAAATAGTGACAACAGATTTGAAACAAAATCAAACGCCTATTGTATTTGGTTTTTTTATTTCACTTTTAAGAACAGAACAATTAATGAATCCAGAACTACCTGGAGCCTTATCAACATTTAAAGAGGTAACTCTACTATTCACACTTTTTCAGCTTGCATTTTCAAACCGTTTTGTCTGTTGCATTTTCTTTTTACTTTTCAATCCTAATTTAGCTTTAGCATCAACCTTTTGGTCCCTGAGTACACCTGAATAACCATAGGAGGTAGTAATTTGCTGCTTCACCTGATTACTTTATACTTCTGGAAAGAGTGGAAACTCAAGGGCATCTCTAATTTGGCAAAGTAACAGTTTGATCTCAGTGAATTATAAGAGAAACACAGTGTTGGATGGATGTTTCAAAGTTCTCCCTGATCTGCAGAAGTCTCCTTAAAGCACTTGCAACATCTGCACGTGCACTATCGATATAGTTAGCCAAAATGTTTGTTATCTGTTGAGCCGCTCCAAATGTTGCTTGCAGCTTTTCTCCCATGCATGAGCTTTATCGACAATTTTTGCTAAATAAACACCAAATAGTAACTATCCAAAATCCAGTGGGAAAACCATTCAAAAAATGACATATGCACCAGGAACAATTTTGGCCAGTGCACAGTACCTCTTCATGTTGCGATCCAAGTGTGGTTGTCTATCCAGTGAGAGACCTGGTACATCCCAGGAGCAACCATGATTGGTTTAATGTGGTTTTTAATGTGCAAAGGATGACAGAATTACAAAAAAAGAGAGTAAAAAGGTTATGTAGCTTCTGAAGGGATTTGAAAATGCGAGGAAATTGGAAGAAAATTGAATTGTAAAATAGAATGATCATTTATATGTTTGTTAAAGAAAGGTGTTTATAATCAGATTTATGAATTATGGTTTTAAAAAAATACATTTATAAATAGTGATAGAAAATGCATTATTAAATTGTAGTTTTTAATAATGGATGAATAGCTAATTTACAATTCGTATTTAATAATTCAATCTATAAACTGCAATTACAAAATGCTTTTAAAATCTCTCCCACAATAGTGCATATCAAATGCATAGCTATCCTTTAACAGGACAACAGCACAGTCCCCATTTCCTATCTAAAGAAGGATGTCTTCAACATGAGGGAGTTTTTCTTATATTGGTGACATCATGACCCATTGGAAAGAACAGTTAGATTTTTTTTAAAGGATCCTACTTTAACCTACAGCTATTGACAGCTAAAACATCCGGATAAAAAAAATGCCCAAAAGTTACTACCACATTTTA